TATCTTAGAAGTCTTATCGGTGTCGTGAACCAAGAGCCTGTGTTGTTTGGCACAACCATAAGAGAGAACATTGCTTTTGGTAAGGAAGGAGCAACACAGAGTGAAATCGAAGAAGCAGCAATAATGGCTAACGCACACAGTTTCATCACACAGTTCCCAAAGGTGAGGACTAATACTCATCTGTGAAAATTCTCGTGCTAGTGGAGTTTCAACTTCTTTTGAAACATGCGCTATTGAGCGCTTTGATATTTTAACTATTATAAATTGATAGGAACATTATATGGTAAGCGTCATTTCCACTAAAACAGCGTGTTTCGATTGGTTTGGACTCATTTTTAGGTCCATTACTTTCCGTAATTGAATCAATTGACTGCCGAAACAAAAAACACTTGCAAAAATGTGAGTCTAAGGAAGAACACTCGGAAACGAAATGTTTTTATTCAGACCACACAATATCAATGATTCAGTTACATTTTACTGACAAAAACTAGAAGCCAGCCGTTGAAAAGCACCCAGGATGATAAAAGAAAGGAAATTTCGCTCCTGGTAGGACAATGCTATATAACAAATCTTTTATTAACTTCACTTGCTCGGTCTTTATTGAGAAATATTGAACTTTTGTCTTCGGGCTAGGTCTGCACAAAAACACCTTAGGTCAATATTTCTTTGCTAGAGACCTCGCCCTTTGATTTTAAGAGCTTAGAAGTTGCATATGACTTCACGATTGCAACGGAAAAGTCGGTTGAAACAATCTGCAAAGTAGTTATAATTTTTTTAAGCACCACATAAGTGCGATTTATGCATTTTTTTATCTAAAAATTCTCGGTGATTTCACTTCTCCTAAAAGGTGTTGCAGCAAAGTTGATAACTTCTACTGCAAGAAAAACCTTTCAAAATTTTCAATTACATTCAATGCAGTTTCATATCAAACGTATTGAATGTTTTCTCTCCGATGTTTTTATATTACGTTTATTACTTTCAAAATCATTGAAGGGTTACGAGACACTCTGTGGAGAGCGTGGTGCTAAAATGAGTGGTGGACAGAAGCAAAGAATAGCCATTGCTCGAGCTTTGATAAGAAATCCAAAAATCCTGCTTCTGGACGAAGCAACATCTGCCCTTGACTCAGAGAGTGAAGCCATCGTCCAAGATGCCTTAAACAAAGTAAGTATATTGTTCATTGTTCAATTTTTAGATCAATAAAGTTCACTTAATGAGGTCAGTTTTTGATGAAGCATTTGTACCTTCTTACCGTTTGAAGATGTTTTCTGTATTCTTACGATGGACTCTAATAATACACGATTATATATATCACACAGAAATCTCACGTGATTTTTGTGTAATTGCTTAACACCGTTGACTCAACCATCTTTGGAAAGAGAGCCTTTACTGGCTCCTTGGATGTATGTGAAATGACAGAATATTTTGAGTAAACTTTACATTTGAGGTCTTTATCTGCATCAGAATCACTGATTAGTTGATCTTGCACAAAATTCACTTGAGATAGCCTTTTGACGTTTTTTGTGCTAGTACTGTGTAATTTGTGGTCCCAACGCACAGTTGCAGCAAACAACCAAAATAAATATATGTTTTCGATTAATGAAGTCGCCAAATTCGTAGCTGGAAGGACTATATTTATACATATGCCCTCAATTGAACTTACAACGTCACCGATTGCTCGCGAGTAAACTCAAAATTAACGTTCTCCATCTTCGCTTAACTTTTTTTATCTGCTAGGCAAGTGTACAAAACCAGTCAATGATTAAACTTAAGCGGAGAGATTGCAAATAATAGGGATCAATATTTAGCTGCTAAAGAAACAACAAATATTAAATTGATGAAATTAGTCGTAAATTATACTTTGAGCTTCGTGATGTTTTTTATTTTATTATACGCTATAGCAATGTTCACCGGTTTGACAAAATGTCAGTTGTAAATTGATAATTTGATCACTACCATGATACTTGTCAATTTTTAAACCTCTTAGGCTGGTAAAGGCCGCACAACTATAGTTATTGCACATCGTTTATCCACGATAAAGACCGCTGACTTAATAGTGTCTGTTCGCAAAGGAGCCGTCGTTGAAACTGGAACACACGAAGAATTGATGGCAGCAGAAGGGATCTATAAAAGTTTAGTGATGTTACAGGTAATGGATATGATACATGTGTAAAGACGGAAACCTTAAAGTTTGAACACCAGGGTCTTGAAAATAAGTTGTTTAGGTAGTTAAATCGATTGTAAGAGCATACGAAATATATATAATCGGTCGAAAATTTCGGCTTAGAAGTAGGTGACCTCGCGCAGGAAATGAATTATAAAAAGTAGCGCTCTTTTCGTGAAGTGTATACACCGTGCAATAATATATAATGTCAGTATGAAATAGCGTCCGAGCAGTTTTACTTTTTAAGTATTTACTTTGATTGTTTGCTGAAAAATGTCGTCAAAATGTACACGTATGGCACATGTATAGGAAAACATCCCATAAACAGCTTAAATGTTTACTATTAACCTGTGTAATGAACCTATGACCTAAATACAAGTGTTCTCCTTATTACGTCACATCCGGTGCAGTGTCAACTTCTTTAAATTGATTAAACTATCTAAAACGCTATTTTCTTAACTCTGACATATAGAGACTTTAAACGCAGACTGCAAACTAGAAACATGCATCACATAGAGAGATATCTCTAATTTCATCATTGAGCACGAATGTAACATTATGTTAATACAAAAACATATTGTCCGTTAGTATGAATATTTTTCATGTCTATTTTAAGCCAATAGCATTATTTTTTTATGAAGAAATTGTGGAAAGTGAGTTTTGCCTTTTTCAACATTTTGCAGCTAAAAGCTTACCTGTTAATAATAAACTTGTAAACAATGACCTATAAAACATTGCTTATTATCTAGTTAAATTTTGTAAAAAGAGAATCAGTTATGACTTTTCCCTTTTCCAAAAGCCATTACCAGCCGACAATATTATGAAGTCTAGTAAGAAACATTCTCCGAACAAAAAATGTCCATGTTTAACTCATGTTTGAGGAAGAAAATAGAAATGAAAAACTATCTTTTTGTTACTCAAATATTTAGTTGAACATGGACCTTATACTTGGAGTAGATCTTTCTCTTTACCAGCTCGGATCCTTTTGATCAATTCTAATTAATGTTATTTTTTCATATATTATTGTAAAGAGCTCTTTTGCTTTTTTTTGCTATCTTAATTTACCTCTCAACGAAATAACGAAATTTTTAATACATACAGCGAAACATAAGCTTCTTTTGCGTCATTATATAGGAGAAAGCCGGGGTTGAAGAGCCTGAAATAGATGAGGAGGCTGAAGAGGAGAATTTAAAGCCAAGTTCCCTTGCTTTTCCGCAATTGGATTTATCTACAGCAACTACTTCAACTCATACAGTCTCAAGAGTGTCGGGAAAAGTTTGTACACATTTAGTATTTACTAAATTTATTTAGTAGATTACATTCATTGTTATTTTTGAAATCTTGCGTGTTCTTGAATTTAAGAGACGACAGCTACGTAACTTCTTTAAAGCACAAGCAATTCCATTCTTAACATGGCAGATGCCCAGTTGCCACAAGTTTATTCAGATCTGTGTTTAGTTGTATCGGATTCAATCATTTGCAATTTATATAATATCTTAGGGTGAACTTTCTCTTGTTTTGTTTATATACATGATGTTCGTGAACATGATTATAAATGTTTCAGGGAGAAGAGGAGGACCTTAAAAAGGTGTCATTAATTGAAATCGTCAAAAAGAACAAACCCGAGTGGAAATATTTAGTGCTTGGTATTTTTGGTGCTTCGCTATTTGGATTGTATCCTGCTTTGTACGGTCTCAGCTTAGGAGGAATATTTGGGGTGAGTACAATGAAAAAATTTTTTAAATCTTAACTCTAACGCCTTTTCATTCCAGTTTTCAAAGAGTTGTTTTGTGGCAAGTTGATTTAAACTTACAACACATTCTTGGAGGCTTATGCAAACCAAGGAGATCTTTGTGAGAGCTTGAGAGAGGATGAGTGAAAGCCAGAGGTTTTAACTTGCTCCAGAGTTCTCGTAAACTTCTCCGAGTTTTTCATAAAACAGTGCAAGCTCGAGAAACATTTTTTATTTATTTTGAATAACTACGATACAAAACATGTAAATTCAAAGAAAACGTTTTAATTTTTCCTCTATCAAGCATTTATGACTTACTAGCAAACTCTCTTCGATCGATTTAATTGATTGAATTCGGATTCGTTAACACAGCCTAACACAAACTCAGGTACAGACCAACCAGCGCGCGTGCTTTATTGCTCATTTTGTTTGTAAATCTACATTAAAACAGCCTGAAGTTCATTTTAAAGCAGTTTGATCGATCAAGAAACTTTGTCATCTGGAAATTTATCATCGATGGCATTGTTGTGGATAGGTTTTTAATTTCTTGTAGCGATTAATCACTTTTTTTAACAAATGGATTGCTTAAAGTTTGTTCAAGGAAAAGCTGATAAATATTGTTGTATAGATCTGATTGAACGTTTTTCAAAAAAAACTTTCGAAAGTATAGGGCGTGACCTAGGGGCCTCTGAGGCTCTAGCCTTTCCAGAATTTTGTTTTTAGGGGCATGGCTCCCCTCCAGGGAAGTTTTGCAGAGCTCAACATATATTTGCAATTATGGTCCGATTGTTGGAAGTCACTGCAATAAAGCGACTTAAGAAACTTTTTAAGACATTTTTTATCAATTTTTTTCTGCTTGTAGCAGTTATATCGATATCACAATAACACTAACTCTTACAATAATCCTAAAACAGTTTTCATTCATCATTATTATTGGAGCATGCAATCTCAGAATCTCAGTGTTTCTCTTATCATTTCTTTCGCAAGTGAACATGTGGTAATTTATTACAAATAGTGCAAGCTTCTTCACTCGATCTTTACTACTTTCGGTTCTTGACAATGATTCATGTAATACTTCGAGCTTCTTCACTATTTACTTCTTTCTAGACTCTCGACAATGATCCAAGTAATGCAAAAGACAGAGAGGAAATGGAGGACGATAGCAGAAAATGGGCACTTTACTTCTTCTTCTTAGGGGTTGAAAGTGGTTTTGGTATCGTTGTACAGGTTAGTAATTATACAAAAATTATGGAATTTGATTGTCATAAAGAAAAATGGTCTCTGAGTTATGAGTAAAAATGCCATGGTGATCAAATTAAGTTTTGAAAATTTTGGAATCAGGAAATGTAGGTGATTACTATTTTAGCCATTTTGACCATAGCTAAGAATTTATCTCAACGTAGATCACAAATTTGCTTTCATTGATATGGCATTTATAATGTAGAAAAAATGAAGCTGGCAATGGATCACAACTTTGAAAAGGAAATTCCTACCTCAAAAACCTTAGGGAAATAAGTCATGATACAAAAACAGTTGAACGATATGTTTCATCAATTAGAAGACGAAAAATTTTCTCATCTTTTCTTGGTTTTCATGATATTTTTAATTCATGCAAGTGCCCATGATACGAATTCTTTTGTGATCATAAATAAAGGATCTCTAAAGCTCTAATGGGACTTTCTTTAAAAACAAATGTTTGCCTGCTTAGTTTTTAGCCCTATTTACTCAACATAAACTTACCCGGATTGGACCCAGGTTTATTTTTTGCTTGTAAACACTGCTAACACTGCTTTCGTAGTAACATGTTTTCTGTTGCGAAATTAGAAAACATACATGAAATGTGTTGCTTGGTTTGAAACTGTTTCCTGGTGGGATAATTTTTTGATGTTTTACATGACATATAGAATCCCGGGTGGATAATTGTCCTTAACGCTTGCTATACGAACTTTCTTTATATTAGTATAAGTTTATGAAGGCACTTTCATAGCTAGAGTGTCAACTAAACATATTTTGTCCTGTTCCTTTTTACTAAATCATAAATGTTGTATTTCAGTATTGGTTCTTAGCAAAAGCCGGAGAAGCTTTAACAAAACGTCTACGTACCGACACGTTTCTTCATGTTCTAAGACAGGTAATTCAAAAAACATAGGTTGATGATTCTCGCTGAATAGGAAAAATTAAAAAAATAGTGATAATAAGCTCGCCGTTTGCCATACCAAATATAATCCTTTCAATGGGTGTGTTATGAGAAACTCATGCTTGCTCTATCTTTATAGCTAGATAAAGCTAAAAAAAATGCACAGTTCTTTAGAATGACTTAATAAATTATTGCAAGTTTGTATCTAAAGTGCAGGATTTGAATTCGTGAACATCTTTTCTTACGTTAAAGGTATATGAAAATCACCTCCTTTTCTGTAGTTTTTACATTTTTTAATTAAATGAACAGTTACGTAGATTTTTAAATTGCGATCATAGAGAGATATCCTTAAGGATAAATTTTTCTTAGTACATTTTCTGCGGTATCATGTGTACGTGTTTCGTTTGGCCGGCAACCAATACATCTTGGAAATAAAAAAGAAATCAGTTATTTAAGCGTTCTTGTATTAATATTTGTTGTTGTTCTTCCATAGCTCTTTTTTTAAACAAAATCAATTTTCCATTTCCATAGGATATGAGCTACTTTGATAAGCCAGAAAACAGCACTGGTGCTGTGTGTATGCGGTTATCTACTGATGTCTCCAAGATACAGGGGGTACATTTACGTTATATTAAGGGCTGATTACATGAGCCCTGGTAGCCGGGATTCAGCGAAGCGTTAAATGATTTTGACAAATGGAAACGATTTAATACATATCAGATAAATCTTCTTCAGTAATTTCATAATATTCTGGCTTTATAAATACGCAAGCATTTAAAATGAGAACAACTAATGTGGCCTAATTTTAGTATTGCCTTTGAAATAACTTGTGGTACTTTACGAACAGTTGTAATTTTTCCGCTAAAAATTTTGCCTCCTTTCAATGACTCAAAATCCTCTCACGCCTCACTGAATCCCGGTTAGACGGGATCATGTAAACAGCCCCTTGAAAGTCCTATTACTCTAGTAAGCAAAGTCAATAATTTTTTGTTTGCAGTGCCTGTAGACATAATTTTGATGTATACGAAAATATTACACCATATCTTGTGCCTTTTCCATATAAATATATTTAGAAAAAACATTGTGAGCAAGCTTTTTACTGGAACTTGATCGATTGTACGAATTTTAATAGCTAATTTATTTTTTTGCATATTCATACTTTATCAAATTAAAACATTCTTGTACATTTGTGTCTGGCACAGAGGTGGGTTATTAGTTGCCAGGCCAGTAGGCTAAGACAAAGTTACGGACTTTTTAAAGTATGTACTACTCCCATTAAGTGTTAGCAATATGAAACCAAATTTCAAAAACTATTAACACGGTCTGTGAGATTGGGAAAACACGCTATCGCATGAGCTCTGAGCATCGCGCATTTGAACAGTACATAGTACGAAAGACATTTTCGTCAATATTCAATCTCTCTTATGGATATAAACGGTCTGAAGTAGATACATATGTAGCAGTACAGAATAGCAAAAAGCAAAAACTAATTGTGTCTAGAAACCACGAACTTTCCGAAAGCCCGAGTCTCTATAGTCTTAAGCCTACTAAGTAATCCACCAATTGTCATGCAACCACCATAAACGTACACAACTTTAAAAGCATCAAAAGCATTGAAAAATACCGTTTACAAAGCGTGAATGAAGAGTCTACCCTTGGAGTTTGTGTTGGCTGAAAATAACTTAACAATAAACGTTCTTCAAAGCACCATACAAAAATTATCCCCTTCTCCTTTGAAACCTCGCATTTTGAACACAATTTATTTGTCCTTGACTCAACGTTTTCTTATTTTCACTCATCATGCCTTAAATGTAGTTTTATCTTTACTGCACCAGGCTACAGGAGCACAACTTGGTCTTCTTGCCTCAAGTATCGCTACAATCGCAAGTGGACTAGCAGTTTCGTTCTCTAAAAGCTGGAGAATAACACTTGCAATGTGTGCTGTGACTCCACTGGTCTACGTTGGGGGGACATTTTTCAATGTGTTCATGGGAGGAGGCGGTGTTGATCAAGATCGCTCCAATGCTGGATCGGTATGAATGGAATATATTTTAAGTCTCCCCCCAGTTTCTTTGCCACATATTTCAACGCTATTTTCGGTACTGAATAATTTAACGTGTATTTAAGGACCATTTGGTCATTAGAAATAGCAACCACGTGTACAAAAGAACTAAAAACCTGTTCAAATCATATGTTGATTTCGTTTATCACCATTGCACTATGGCGATAGCATCCTGGCTATCACCATAGTGCAATGGTGACGTCTTGCACTTGGGACACAAGATGTACGGTTACGCATTGTATGGATTGTTTTGTAGAGTAACCAATGTCCTTTATATAAAAGTAACTATAACAGGTGCAACAGTAACAAAAACACAACGTGCGCGAGTAACCACCACATTCACATTGGATGAAAATTGCTCGAAACAAGAAGCTGCATTCTTTCTCTTGCCATTAAAATTTTCTTACACGTTAACAGAATTCAAAAAACACCACGCAGATAGCAGAATAATGAGTTGTTTTTATTATAACCAAATGACTGCTAAACATAAATGATGTATACTTATGTTATTCCCATAAAACCATTCCATTTTGCAAACTTTTTGATAGGTCTAATTTTAGACTTTAGTAGATTTGTGTACAGATATTAAATGCGCGTTTGGTAATGAGTGCAAATCCAAGCAGTTTCGTTAGATCAAGGACTAAAACTTGACAAATTTCTTTGAAATCCAGGTGGCTGCAGAAACGATTTCGAATATTCAAACGGTTGTTTCACTAGGACGTGAAGAAGAATTTTATGAACGTTATAGCGACTCTCAAATTGAGCCACTCAGGTATATTTACGTTTTAGCGTCTGGACATTGATGACTTTTCTCCTATACGTAATTGCACTGTCTTTAAAGCGTTAATGACTCGAAAATTTTACTATTTAAAAATTTTAATTATATTTTCATCGGACAGACATTTTAAAATGATAGTGTATTTTTAAACAGGCCAAGAGCAAAAATTTTTGTCTAAGACTACAGCGTCGACTTACCAAAGTTGTTTGATAACAAGAGAAAACACCTTCAGCGAAATTTATCATCAGAAAAGCGTGATGCATGTTTAAAATGATTTGGCCATTTAAAACGAAAACTATTTTTTGACAAATTGACACGATGATATTGTATAATCGCAACATTGAATATCATGTGCTTGAATTCGTTGTTTTTTAACGTTTTGGTAAGTGCTCCACTCATTCTTTCTTCCGCACATTTTCTTCGCCAAATATTTGCATGTGACTAGTGTTTAAAATAATCCTTATATAATTAAAGAACCGGTCCAGTTTTTTATAAATGATTCTTACACCTTTCTAGATACTCATTTTGCATAATAGTTCGCTGTAAAGTTTCAAACACTCTTTAGTTTGCAGACCACTTTTGGTTAAAATAATCAAGCAATATTTATACTTTTCGATAAAGGAAGCTCTTCGATGAAGAAATCTGTTCTCGGTTAAAGAGAACCAGCTATTTCAACTTCTCATTATACAATGTGACGTCACAAGTTGTGTAGAGCGTCCATCACATGAACTGAACTATCGTAAATGGTTTTAAAAAGTAGACTGAAATTTTCAAAGATGTGCTTAATGAGAAAATAATCTAAAATGTACAATTTTTGTGTCATATTCATCTTTAGAATTTTGTTTAGCATACGCAATAAGTTGTGAGGACTACTGCATGACGAAATGTGACGTGTTTGATTTCGCTTGCTTTTTATCCGAAAGCAGCGTGAGATATTTTGAAACTTTTGGTATTTTCAGGAAAGCAAAAAGAACTAGTCATATGGCAGGGTTTGCTAACGGAACTTTGATGGCAGTGGGGAACATCGCATTCGCTGTTGGTTTCCGTTATGGTGGCTACTTACTTAGTAAAGGGAAAGTTGATGTCAATGAAATGACGACGTAAGTTTGTGCAAATACCATAGAGTAATTATGGCCTATGGGCCTGGCTACTTTAGGGGTGTTTGGTTTTGAGTAGTTACTTTCAGCATTAGTTCACCCTAATGGTCGAGTCTTAATCCACGTAGTATGAATGATATTTTCAATACGTTTGAAGTTGTATAAGGCTGGAATATTTGATAATGATGCACATGATTGTTTTATTTGGGTAAAAATGCTGATGTTGGAAAGGTCTTGAAAGTTTTACAAAGAGGGGGTGATTACCTTTGCGACTCTTTTAATACAGAATGTTTGCATGTGGCCATGTTAGGGGAGAACATCAAAGTGCCAATGCTCAACAGAGCATGAAATTAACATTAATTCTTTTCACTACGTGCAATGACAACACTAGGCGTCTACTTTTGCAACGAAGATTACTTTCAATGGTGGTGGTGGGGGGGGGGGCGGGGGATAATTTCGAGAACTCTACGGTAGTTCTTCGTATTTTGAAGACTTTGATCTGCAAAAATATACTTTGTTTTAGGATTTCTTAGTAAAATATCTATTCAATATAAACATATTTTCCTTTCCGATAGATCTGTTTTTACAATAATTATGTGCGCAGTTGTTATTGGGCAACTCTCCTCCATGACTCCCGATTATACCGAAGCTCGAAAAGCGACCAACAGAGTTTTCAGTTTCCTGGAGAAAATTCCGGAAATCGATAGTTATAATGATCGTGGAGTTATACCGGTAATATTTACTATTTGCTATTTTACATCAGTTTATAGATAACAATTATTTCAGTGAAAAATAATACAAGAATTCTTTCCTGTGCACTAAGGATGAATACTTTTTGTTCTATGAAAAGTATGTTTGTGTAAGTGAGTGGCTCCAGCTAATGTTCCTCCAGGGGTTATCTAAGCTCTTCAAATGCCATTGGGGTGCTCATCCGATAGTGGTATTCACCAGAGCCCTGTATATGTAAGAGTTGGGACACGTATTGTTCTCTGCATTTTGGATTATGATCATGGTGAACGGGTAGATATGGTCACGTGTGTATCTAGCCGCCATTTTTGTTCCAAAAGTGCCAATTATAACCATTTTTACTTAGGAGATAAGTTATTAAAAAATGTTTTCAATGATTTTATGTTGCGTTATAATAGTTCTAATCAAAGCGATCAAGAATAGAAACATAACGCTCCCTTGCGGCAAAAACAGTAGTAAAGGCGTATAAATTACATCCACTGCATTAAATAATTGCTTTTTCAATATTATAACATCAATAAACAACTGAATTCCAAACGTGGCGATTGCTGTCTATTCATGAGAGGAAAAATATAACAGATAGCTTGTCTTTCCAGCACTGAATGCTCAATATTTGCTGTCATTTGGAACAAAAATGGCGTACGCTAAGCACTTTTACTTCCCGTGTCCCAACTCTCCTAATACAGGGCTCTGGTACTCACTGACTCTATATATCACTGTATACAATTTTCGGCTATACCAAAACAACAAAAAGTATGCTTCATCCGTCAATAGAAATGTTAGCTAAGAGAGCTGCTTATCTATTGATCAACAAAGATCCAGTGGGTTATTTTGTGAAAATTTTTAAAACAGGTACAAAAAATTTTATTAGTGTATGGTGGCGAAATATGGTTTTTTACCTTCTGATAAATATTTGCTTTACTTATAAATACTAAATATTTTCTTACATTTCGTCATTTCCTTAATACTTTAAATGTTTATATACATCCAAATGTGTTCGGTTTCATTATTTGATCTATTTGGTTAAGTTACTGATTGTTTTAGTAATTGCCAGTGAAAATGCAGCTTTCGTAAATAGTTTCTATAAATTGATACGTTTATTTGATTGATTTATTTAGAAAAACAGATACAATTGCATACGCATACGCTTTATATTCACAAAAATATTCCTTTAAATGATACACATTTTAGAGGACGATTATGTTTTCTTTACATGGAAAATATCAAAATACAATCTCCGTCGTGCTTTATCTATAAACATGCTGCTATATTCCAATTTTATAAAAATGGAGTCTAGATCCTCCAGTTCCTTAAAGCAAAGTTCCGTACTCACGAAGTCTGGATTTTAAAGAATAACTTTCGCTGGATTCCAGATTTCGGAATCCTTTACATAGCAATTCTAGCTTGGGTTTCTGGTTTTAGAATTCTTCACAAGAAATTTGAATGCGATGAGATAAGAGAAGTTTGGTTGTGCCTCTTTTGTAAGGCTCATGTATGGCTCATTATAAAACAAAAGACGAAACTTTGAAAGAGTGCATACAAGAAAAATAGTTGAAATCTCTTTTAAACGTATTTTTTGATGATGTATTTTTTATCATCATTAGACATCCTGTAACGGCGAAGTTCGACTGGCCAGCGTAAAATTCCGATATCCAACTCGCCGACATGTAAAAGTCTTACGTGATCTTAGTTTTAATGTTCAGCCTGGACAGACAGTAGCTCTCGTTGGCACTAGTGGCTGTGGTAAAAGTACTTCTATTTCTTTAGTGGAGCGATTTTATGATACACGTAGTGGGCGTGTGGTAAGTGTACGAGCTGTCTATTTATCAAGCCACGCACGTAGGAAAACCGATAATTTAGAGGGGTTGTTCTATAATCATATATGCATGTTATAATTCGTTTAAGAAAATGGATATTAAAGGAACTTGATACTGCATATTATGCATGTATATATGAATGTATGCCGTGCTCCACCCTCCCATCTCCCCCGCAAAAAAATATCGATCTTTCTACGTCCATGTATCCACTCCACGTCAACAATGCTAAATTTTTCGTTTAACTATATAACTTTGAGTATGCCATTTTCGCTTCCCTTTCATCTTGTTTTGATTCTAGTAAAGGGAAACATTTTTACAACTTTATGTCGTTTATTGCATAATGAAACATCACATGCGATATTGATTTTGTCTTCAACATGTCAATGGGTTTTTCGATGAGGAAGTCACGAAATAAGATTGTTATTTCCATACTCATTTAGATGATCGATGGCTATGATGTTAAAGAATTAAACCTGAAATGGTTGAGAAGCCAAATTGGTATCGTTTCGCAGGAGCCAGTTCTCTTTGACGTATCGATTAAAGAAAATATAGCATATGGCGATACAACACGAACTATTAGTGATAGTGAAATTGAAGAAGCAGCAAGATCTGCGAATATCCATGACTTCATTTCGAAATTGCCTCAGGTATAGTTAACTGTGAATGCTTTATAGTGAATCTTCTACGATACCAAATGATGAATATTAAGCGCGCTTTACAAATTAAACATAAAATGTTTTACTAGCGGTGCAAGTTCATATTAAATACTCAAATGTATAATAATAAGTGCGTTTAAAATGCTCACGCATGGCAATGTATTCTGATACTTGGATATGCTCTCTCATTGTGTTTTCCTATCTGAAATGTAGGGATATGATACAGTTGTTGGAGACAAGGGTGCTTTAATATCAGGCGGACAAAAGCAAAGAGTTGCTATTGCACGAGCATTAATCCGAGATCCAAAGATTCTCCTTTTGGACGAAGCAACGTCTGCTTTAGATACAGAAAGTGAAAAGGTAAATTATTGTTTTGATATTGATAAAAATCAGTCCATCAAACCTCTTTAGAATGAGCTAATATTTCCGAAGTATGGTATGAGAAAAAGTTAAAGCGAAATGAAAAGTTTATCAATGTAGTGACTTAACTATTTATGTTATTTTTACATTTTTATATAATTTGTGTTTATTTTCTAAATGCTTTTAAATTCTTAAAATTTTACATTTTTTGTAGCCAAATTCATTCTTCTGAATTTCTATTTTCAGAAAAGTCATACATTGTTTTAGAAATGGGAGTGCTATGAAATTTGGGGTTGGGCCCATCAAAATTGCATGCTTATTGCAACGAGGCCCTAAGTGAATAATTTAAATGAAAAATCTTTTGAAATAACTAGAGTAATTTTCAATTAAGTAAAATTGTACATACCATTTTATTTTCAATGAAGCACAATTTTCTTCTAACCATGCACTCGACCTTTTTATCATCTTTGTATTTTTTCAAGGTTGTCCAAGAAGCCTTGGATAGGGCGAGTATTGGACGTACTACTCTTGTTATCGCTCATCGTCTTTCAACAATTCAACATGCAGATGCTATTATGGTTATAAGGAAAGGAAAAGTAATCGAACGAGGCACACACGAAGAGCTCCTTGCTCTGAAAGGGGTTTACTTTCATTTGCATTCCGCGCAATCCCTTTCCTCTTGAAAACGTTTTCAGTACTTTGATATGGTAATTAACAATTTAAACAAATTCACACGATGAAGAGAAAATTAAAGCTCGACTCACTTGATGTTAGTGCTTGTAGTTAAAATTGTTTTCGTTTAATCTTTATTAAAACGCCAAACCATTAAACGAGTTGTTTTAATTTTCATCCCCGTACAACTCAAATAAATATTAAGTGCATGTAATTTATTGTCATAAGTTGAAGAGTTATCGTTTGGTGAAGAACGTAAGGCCCCAAGCTTTTGTAGTGCAAAATAATATATTTGTTAAAAAATCTATATTTTCTATTGCGATCTAGCGGAAGTATCTTGCTGGAAGGACGTGTCTGCTTTAGAATTTGCTTCAGAAAAGTAGGGGACACGAACATCAAAAAATTTCGACACTAGTGGACCTTCTGTTAAGATATCTACTCTGTGTTCAGACCATCGTATTATAAATATACTGGAATGATAACTCCATTAAGAATGCTCAGTGATTGGATGAAGGCAACATACATCTAAAATTTGCCAAATCCCCCCTGAAATAGTGCGTATGTTCTTCGCAATCGATATTTGTTTTTAATTTTGGCAACGGGAATTCCATCAATTCCAAAATTTTCTTGTCGTTTTTCGACAATTTTTCTGAATTGTACCATGCTTAGCTTGTACCTAGCGCGATATCTACGTGGATAAACGTAATCGACAAGAATGGAGATTAATCCGAGAAACTACTACTAGACGGAAAATACTAAAAAATAAATAAAAACATTTCATTTGAATATTTTCTGTATCATGCACATCTTTTTTTTAAATACATCTTTTCTTGTCTTTTTTACGTTTAAAAAATGTTCATTGGGTCTTTCTAATATGAAGATATATGTTTCAGTTTCCCAGTTTTTATTTCATTTTTGTTTTTATATCAAATTGTTGCGCATGATGTTGCAAATTATGTTAAAGTTGTGTTAAGTTCAATTGTACATTCGGGTACGTTGGGGACGATAAGGGACAATATAGAAAACATGAGTGGAACGGAAGTAGAGAGAGCAGAGAACGGAAATGAGACAAGCGATAGAAGCGAGATATTTGAGGAGTAATAATAAAAATTGTTTTAGAAACCAAAGTTGTGATTGTGATTATTCTTCGTGTTCCGAAGACACTAGGACGGAGGTCAATTTTCGGAAGCTTATTCGTGATATGTGATGTGTTTATTTTCTTTTCCATTTTATGGGTTTTGGGGTTTATGGGTTTTACACACAACATACAAAAATAGGACATTGCTTAAATGAAATATGTTATTTGTATTTATACATGGCATAAATAAGGCTTTTTATGCCCCATTAAATAGACACTATTTCAATTTCATGAAGAAGGCTAATACACTTTTTCGAAATATCGAAGTTCTCCAAAATATGGAAACCTGAATGTTTATTAGCGTTATAGGGGAATTAGCTCAAATATTAAAGCGCGCGCTTTGCATGTGCGACTTAACGGGAATGATGCCCATATTCTTCAATATCATTATGTCAATCATTATATTAATTATATAAGGATGGCTAAAACACTTTCTTTAAAATGCCTGTGTTCTCCATAAACATTGCCAACTGAACTTTTTTTTGCGATGTAGGGGAATCATTTCAAGTGGTAGAGCGCGCGCTTAGAATGTGCGAGGTAACAGTATCGATACCCGTATTCTCCCTTATCATTATGTCAATCACTATATTAATATTATAAGGAAGATTAAGACACTTTTTTTAAAATGCCAGTGTTATCCATAAACGTGAACTTTTAATTCGAGTTGTAGGGGAATAAGCTCAAGTGTTAGAGACAGCGGTTTTCATCTGCGAGTTTTCAGGATTAATGAGCGGTTTCTCCAACGCCATTTGGTCAATCACAATATTATGACTTATATCACTTAATATAATGAAGAAGGCTAATTAACTTTTTAATAAATGCTAGTGTTCTCCATAAACAATGCTCCCTGAACTTTTATTTCCTTTTAAGGGAATTAGCTAAAATTTTAGAACGCGCGCTTTGCATGCGAATTAACGCGAATGATGCACGTATTCTCCAATACCTTTATGGCAGTCACTATATTATTATTATAAGGAAGACTAAAACACTTCTTTTGAAATACCAGTGTTCTAAATAGACATTGCCACCTAAACTTTTAATTTGAGTTTGTAGGGGAATTAGCTCAAGTGGTAGAGCAAGCGGTTTTCATTTTAGAGGCAACGGGATTGATGCCCGTTTTTGCCGACGCCATTAAAGTTGGCACTATTTTAAATGCATGAAGAAGGTTAAACACTTTTTTGAAAAATCGGTGTTCTCCAAAATATTGCAACCTTAATGTTTATTTGTGTTGTATGGGGATTAGCTCAAGTGTTAGAGCAAGCTGTTTTTATGTACAGGGTAACAGGATTAATGAGCGTTTATGTCAACCACCATTTATGCCATTAAGTCAATCACCATATTATAACTATGAAGAAGGCTAAAACACATTTCTAGAAATGTCAGTGTTCTCAATAACAGTTGCCAACTGAATTTTAATTTGTGTTGTACGGGAATTAGCTCAAGTGTTAGAGCAAGCGGTTTTCATGTACAAGGTAACAGGATTAATGAGAATTTCATATAACTATGAAAAAGGCTAAAATACTTTTTAATAAATGCCGGTGTTCACCATAAACATTGCCACCTGAACTTTTAGCGTTGTAGGGGAATTAGCTCAAGTAATAGAGCGCGCGCTTTGCATGTGCGAGAAATTTCAGTGTTCTCAACAACCATTGCCAAGTAAGTTTTAATTTGCGTTGTATTGGAAATAGCAAGTAGTGGTGGAGCAAGCGCTCTTCATGTTAGAGGCAACGAGATTGCATGTGCGATTTAACGGGAATGATGCACGTATTCTCCAATATCATTATGTCAATCACTATATTAATATTATGAGAAAGGCAAAAATTTTTTTTTTAAAATGCCTGTGTTCTTCATGAAGATTGCCACCTAAACTTTCTTAAGCATTGCAGGGGAATTAGCTCAAATGGTAGAGCGCGCGCTTTGCGTGTGCGAGGTTACGGGATCGATGCCCGTATTCTCCAATTTCATTATGTCAATCACTATATTAATATTATAAGAAAGGTAAAAAATTTTCTTAAAATGCCTGTGTTCTTCATGAAGATTGCCACCTAAGCTTTCTTAAGCATTGCAGGGGAATTAGCTCAATTGGTAGAGCGCGCGCTTTGCGTGTGCGAGGTTACGGGATCGATGCCCGTATTCTCCTATTTCATTATGTCAATCGCTATATTAATATAATGAAGAAGGTAAATTAACTTTTTAATAAATACCTGTGTTCTACTTAAACATTCTACCTGAAATTTTATTTGCGTTGTAGGGGAATTTGCTCAATTGTTAGAAAAAGTGATTTTAATGTGCGAGGTAAAAGGATTAATGAGCGTTTTCTCCAACGCCATTACGTCAATCACCATATTACAACTATGAAGAAGGATAAAATACTTTGTAATAAATGCATGTGTTCTCCATAAACATTGCCACTTAAACTGTAACTTGCATTGTAGGGGAATCAGCTCAAGTAATAGAGCGCGCGCTTTGCATTCGCTAGGTAACTGGATCGATCTCCGTAATCTCTAATTTCATTATGTCAATCGCTATATCAATATAATAAAGAAGCTTAATTAACTTTTTAATAAATGATAATGTTCTCCATATACAATGCTACCTAAACTTTTATATGCTTTGTAGGTGAATTAATTCAAATGTTTGAGCGCTCTATGCATGTGCGACTTAACGATAATGATGCCCGTATTCTCCAATACCATTATGGCAGTAACTATATTATTATTATAAGGAAGGTGAAACACTTCATTTCAAAGGTCAATGTTCTAAATAGACATTGACACCTGAACTTAAATTCGAGTTGTAGGGGAATTAGCTCAAGTGGTAGAGCGCGCGCTTTGCATGGGCGAGGTAACTGGATTGATCTCCGTAATCTCTAATTTCATTATATCAATCGCTATATTAATATAATAAAGAAGCTAATTAACTTTTTAATAAATGATAGTGTTCTCCATATATAATGCTACCTAAACTTTTATATGCTTTGTAGGTGATTTGATTCAAATGTTTGAGCGCTCTTTGCATGTGCGACTTAGTGAAAATAATGAAAGTATTCTCCAATACCATTATGTCAGTCACTATATTATTATAATAAGGAAGGCTAAAACACTTCTTTCAAAATGCCAGTGCTCTAAATAGACATTGCCACCTGAACTTTTAATTCGAGTTGTAGGGGAATTAGCTCAAGTGGTAGAGCGCGCGCTTTGCAGGTGTGAGGTAACGGGATCGATGCCCGTATTCTCCAATTATTTTTATGAAGAAGGTTGATAAATGTAATGAATATAATCGCTATATTATTATAATGAGAAGATTAAATAGTTTTTTATTAAATGATAGTGTTCTCCATATACAATGCTACGTGAAATTTTATATGCTTTGTAGTGGAATTTGTTCACTATTTTATATAATAAGTAAGGCTAAAACACTTTTTTTAAAATGCCAGTGTTCTCCTTAAACAATGCCACCTGAACTTTTAACTGGAGATGTAGAGGACTTCTGTAAAATGCCAGTGCTTTGAATAGACATTGCCACCCGAAATTTAAATTCGAGTTGTAGGGGAATTAGCTCGAGTGGTAGAGCGCGCGTTAGCATGTGCGAGGTAACGGGATCGATGCCCGTATTCTTCAATATCATTATGTCAATCAATATATTAATAAAATGAAGAAGGCTAATTCACTTTTTAATAAATGAAGTGTTCTCCAGAAACATTGCCCTGAACTTTTAATTCGAGTTGTAGGGGAATTAGCTCAAGTGGTAGAGCGCGCGCTTTGCATGTGCGAGGTAACGGGATCGATGCCCGTATTCTCCAATTTCATTATGAAGAAGGTTGATTAATATAATGAATATAATGGGTATTTTATTATAATGAAGAAGATTAAATAACTTTTTATTAAATAATAGTGATCTCCATATACAATGCTCCCTCAACTTTCTTATGCTTAGTAGAGAGTTGATTCAAATGTTTGCGCGCGCTTTACTTGTGCGAGGTAAAGGGATCGATGCCCGTATTCTCCAATACCATTATGTCAATCAATATATTAATAAAATGAAGAAGGCTAATTAACTTTTTAATAAATGATAGTGTCCTCCACAAACATTGCTCCCTGAACTTTTATATGCTTTGTAGGGGAATTAGTTCAAATGTTTGAGCGCTATTTGCATGTGCGACTTAGTGAAAATAATGAAAGTATTCTCCAATACCATTATGTCAGTCACTATATTATTATAATAAGGAAGGCTAAAACACTTCTTTTAAAATGCCAGTGCTCTAAATAGACATTGCCACCTGAACTTTTAAATCGAGTTGTAGGGGAATTAGCTCACATGGTAGAGCGCGCGCTTAGTCTGTGCGAGGTAACGGGATCGATGCCCGTATTCTCCAATATCATTATGTCAATCCATATATTATTTAAATTGAAGAAGGCTAATTAACTTTTTAATAAATGATAGTGTTTTCCACAAACATTGCTCCCTGAACTTTTTTATGCTTTGTAGGGGAATTAGTTCAAATATTTGAGCGCTTTTGCATGTGCGACTTAACGATAATAATGACCGTATTCTCCAATACCATTATGTCAGTCACTACATTATTATTATAAGGAAGGCTAAAACATTTCTTTCAAAATGCCAGTGTTATAAATAGACATTACCACCCGAACTTTTATTTCGAGTTGTAGGGGAATTAGCTCAAGTGGTTGAGCGCGCGCTTTGCATGTGCGAGGTAACGGGATCGATCTCCGTAATCTCTAATTTCATTATGTCAATCGCTATATTAATAAAATAAAGAAGCTTAATTAACTTTTTAATAAATGATAGTGTTCTCCATATATAATGCTACCTAAACTTTTATATGCTTTGTAGGTGAATTGATTCAAATGTTTGAGCGCTCTTTGCATGTGCGACTTAACAATAATGATGAAAGTATTCTCCAATACCATTATGTCAGTCACTATATTATTATTATAAGGAAGGCTAAAACACTTCTTTTAAAATGCCAGTGCTCTAAATAGACATTGCCACCCGAACTTTAAATTCGAGTTGTAGGGGAATTAGCTCAAGTGGTAGAGCGCGCGCTTAGCATGTGCGAGGTAACGGGATCGATGCCCGTATTCTCCAATACCATTATGTCAATCATTATATTAATAAAATGAAGAAGGCTAATTAACTTTTTAATCAATGACAGTGTTCTGCACAAACATTGCTCCATGAATATTTATATGCTTTGTAGGGGAATTAGCTCAAGTGGTAGAGCGCGCGCTTAGCATGTGCGAGAAAACGGGATCGATGCCCGTATTCTCCAATATCATTATGTCAATCACTATATTAATATATAGAAGAAGGCTAATTAACTTTATAATAACTGGTAGTGTTCTCCATAAACAATGCTACCTAAACTTTTATGTGCTTTCTAGGGGAATTAGTTCAAATATTTGTGCGCTCTTTGCATCTGCGACTTAACGATAATGATGACCGTATTCTCTACTACCATTATGTCTGTGACTATATTATTATTATAAGGAAGCCTAAAACACTTCTTTTAAAATGCCAGTGTTCTAAATAGACATTGCCACCCGAACTTTAAATTCGAGTTGTAGGGGAATTAGCTCAAGGGGTAGATCGCGCACTTAGCATGTGCGAGATAACGGGATTAATGCCCGTATTCTCCAATATCATTATGTCAATCAATATATTAATAAAATGAAGAAGGCTAAATTAACTTTTCAATTAATGATAGTGTTCTCCAGAAACATTGCTCCCTGAACTTTTAATTGCTTTGTAGGGATTTAGCTAATTATTTAGAGCGCGCCCTTTGCATGTGCCGATTTAACGATAATGATGCGCGAATTCTCCAATATCATTATGTCAATCACTATATTAATATAATGAAGACGATAAATTAACTTGTTAATAAATGCTAGTGTTCTCCATCAACAAAGCTCCCTGAACTTTTATTTGCTTTGTAGGGAATTGACTAAATTTTAGAGCGCTAGTTTTGCATGTGCGACTTAACAATAATCATGCCCGTATTGTCCAATACCATTATATTATTATTATAAGAAGGCTAAAACACTTATTTTTAAATGCCAGTGTTATAAATAGAGATTGCCATCTAAACTTTAAATTCGAGTTGTAGGGGAATTAGCTCAAGTGGTAGAGCGCGCGTTTTGCATGTGCGACTTAACGATAATGAAGATCGTATTCTTTAATATCGTTATAACAATCACTATATTAATATAATGAAGAAGGCTAATTAACTTTTAATAAATGATAGTGTTCTAATAAACAATGCTACCTAAACGTTTATATGCTTTGTAGGGGAATTAATTCAAATGTTTGAGCGCTATTTGCATGTGCGACTTAGTGAAAATAATGAAAGTATTCTCCAATACCATTATGCCAGTCACTATATTATTATAATAAGGAAGGTGAAACACTTCTTTTCAAATGTCAATGTTCTAAATAGACATTGCTACCTGAACTTAAATTCGAGTTGTAGGGGAATTAGCTCAAGTGGTAGAGCGCGCGCTTTGCATGTGCGAGGTAATGGGATCGATGCCCGTATTCTCCAAATTTCATTATGTCAATCAATATATTAATAAAATGAAGAAGGTTAATTAACCTTTTAATAAATGATAGTGTTCTCCATGAACAATGCTACCTAAACTTTTATATGCTTTGTACGGGAATTAGTTCAAATGTTTGAGCGCTCTTTGCATGTGCGACTTAACGATAATGATGACCTTATTCCCCAATACCATTATGTCAGTCACTGTATTAATATAATTAAGAAGGCTAATTACCTTTTAATAATGGTAGTGTTCTCATAAACAATGCTACCTGAACTTTTATATGCTTTGTAGGGGAATTAGTTGAAATGTTTGTGCGCTATTTCGATGTGCTACTTAACGGTAAAGATGACCGTATTCTCCAATACCATTATGCCAGTCACTATATTATTATTATAAGGAAGGCTAAAACACTTCTTTTGAAATGCCAGTTTTCTAAATAGACATTGCCACCTAAACTTTAAATTCGAGTTGTAGGGGAATTAGCTCAAGTGGTAGAGCGCGCGTTTTGCATGTGCGACTTAACGATAATAATGACCGTATTCTTTAATATCGTTATGTCAATCATTATATTAATATA